ATGTTGTTGTTATACTGTAACTGTTGTTGTTGTTGTTGTTAAACTGTAGCTGTTATGTTGTTGTTGTTGATGTTGTTGTTATACTGTAACTGTTGTTGTTGTTGTTGTTAAACTGTAGCTGTTGTTGTTGTTGATGTTGTTGTTATACTGTAACTGTTGTTGTTGTTGTTGTTAAACTGTAGCTGTTGTGTGTCTCTGCTGGTAGAGGTGGAACATTATTCAGGTCTTTGGCTCCTGTTAAAGGAGGACACAGGTAGAAGCAGAACTGAACTAACGTGTTTTCCTGATTGTGTAAATGTTTGTTTATTTTTCAGTTTCTATATTTTATCTCACGTCTGTTGTTTGATTTTTTTATGTTTTGTTTCTTCCTTAAAAGAGTTGTCTCATCAAACCTCTGACACACCTGTGGAGCAAGACTCCGCCTCCATCACCTTCTCTTTAACCCCTCCCACTGCATTGACTCCATCCACGGCCTCCTTCTTCACTTCATATGACTCCGCCCCCGAGCCACTGGTCGCCAAAGCTCCATCCTCACCTGTCGTTGCCACGATGGCTGCACAGAAACGATCTGCTGGTGTGGGGCGGGGCTCGTTTGATGACATCACTCCTGAACTGCCACAGAATAAGCCCCTCCCCCATCAGAAGGCGGAGTCAGAGGAGAACAAGTCAGATGGCAATAAAATGAGAAGACCCAGAGGATCCCACAGTCTCCCTCATCACCTGCTGACACCTCTACAGGCTGGGGGCGGAGCTTGTCAACAACATCTGACACAGAGAGAGGCGGAGATGGGAGGGGGCGGAGCCAGAGCTCTGTGGAAGGCTTTGTTCCTTGGAAACAGGAAGGAGCTGAAGAAGAAGGGCGGCGCTTTACCTACAGAGGGGCTGAGGAAGAAAACAGCCAATCAGTCAAGAGCTACAGGTGATGATGCAATAATGTAATGATGTCACAGTTATGACGTAATACAAATAAGACTTCCTGTTTCCTAAAGTGACGGGAGAAGAGTCTGATCTGGACTCAGCGACTGTCCTGCAGAGATGCTCCCTGAAACCCCAAAACAATGTAAGAATCCACCTGACAGGAAGTTCCTCTGATCCTACATTAACCAATCAGAGATCCAGCTTACCTGAGAGGAGGCGGAGTCTGGTTCCTCTGGGATCAGACTAACACCTGGTTTATGTTAATCTGAAGTTCTCCTGATGTTTGCAGCTGCAGCTGGAGCTGTTAGACCTCATGTCTGACATCCAAAGAGTCACCTTGGAGAAGAAGGAGGAGGAGAACAAGGAGGTACCAGCTGAAGACCTGGACCTGGACCTGGACCTGGACCTGGACCTGGACCTGGACTTAGACTTGGACTTTTATATTTCCAATTAAACCATTAAACCTGCAGTCACAGATCTCATCTAATTCAGATCTGGTAGTGAAGGTTTTGGTTGGACCTCAGTGGTCTCTGGACCTGGACCTGGACCTGGACCTGGACTCATCATTCTCACCAACACAGATTCTTGTCTTACTGATTTCTGTCTTCTTGTCTTTCAGCAGACCTATGTCCCTCACGCTCTGGCCTTCAGAAGGTCCTACCCCATCAAGGTAAGACATGTGGTCTTCACTGGTGGTTCTGGAGACMCTGCAGTCCAGGTCCAGTCTTCTCTTCTGTAACACCTACACACCTGTTGTTTCAGAACCGACCCATAAAGGACAGAGTCCAGGACTCTGACGGACAGTCCTCCTGTCCCACAGAAGTAGTGGGAGTCCTGGTCCATCCAAAGGAAGTGTCCAGTCTGAGTGTGAAGGAGAGCCTGTTCCAAAAGGAGCAGGAGAATCAGGACCAGGACCTGGACACCAAGACCAGTCGGAGGGTTCAGAGAACTGCTAGAAGACAGGCCAAACAGGAGGAGCTAAAGAGACTGCACAAGGCTCAGGTGATGTTACCTGAGTGCAGGGTCAGAGCAGGTCCGGTTCTGGGTCAGAGTCTGGAGAGTGACTTCTGGTTCTGTGTCTCAGATGATCCAGAGGCAGCTGCAGCAGGTGGAGGTGAGACAGAGAGAGCTGGAGGACAGGGGAGTCATGGTGGAGAAGGCTCTGAGAGGAGAAGCAGGTTCGAACACAAACAGCATGCTGAACACCTGGACTCACACCTGGTTCACCTGACAGACCTGGACTCACACCTGGTTCACCTAACACACCTGGGCCAACACCTGGTTCACCTGACACACCTGGACTCACACCTGGTTCACCTAACACACCTGGGCCAACACCTGGTTCACCTGACACACCTGGACTCACACCTGGTTCACCTGACACACCTGGGCCAACACCTGGTTCACCTGACACACCTGGACTAACACCTGGACTCACACCTGGGCCACCTGACACACTTGGACCAACACCTGGTTCACCTGACACACCTGGACCACCTGACACACCTGGACTAACACCTGAACTCACACCTGGACCACTCGACACACCTGGACTAACACCTGGACCCACACCTGGTTCACCTGACACACTTGGACCAACACCTGGTTCACCTGACACACCTGGACTACCTGACACACCTGGACTAACACCTGGACCCACACCTGGTTCACCTGACTCACCTGGACTAACACCTGGACCCACACCTGGTTCACCTGACACACCTGGACCACACCTGGACCACCTGACACACCTGGACTAACACCTGGACCCACACCTGGTTCACCTGACACACCTGGACCAACACCTGGTTCACCTGATACACCTGGACCAACACCTGGTTCACCTGACACACCTGGACCCACACCTGGTTCACCTGACACACCTGGACCCACACCTGGTTCACCTGACACACCTGGACCAACACGCGGTTCACGTGACACACCTGGACCAACACCTGGACCACGTGACACACCTGGACCAACACCTGGACCACATGACACACCTGGACCCACACCTGGTTCACCTGACACACATGGACCCACACCTGGTTCACGTGACACACCTGGACCAACACCTGGTTCACCTGACACACATGGACCCACACCTGGTTCACGTGACACACCTGGACCAACACCTGGTTCACCTGACACACCTGGACCAACTCCTGGTTCACCTGACACACCTGGACTAACACGTGGGCCACCTGACACACCTGGACCACCTGACATACCTGGACTAACCCCTGGACCACCTGACACACCTGGACTCACACCTGGTTCACCTGAGACACCTGGACTAACGCCTGGACCACCTGACACACCTGGACTCACACCTGGACCACCTGACACACCTGGACTAGCACCAGGACCACCTGACACACCTGGACTAACACCAGGACCACCAGACACACCTGGACCAACACCTGGTTCGCCTGACACACCTGGACTAACACCTGGGCCACCTGACACACCTAGACCAATACCTGGTTCACGTGACACACCTGGACTCACACCTGGACCACCTGACACACCTGGACTAACAACGGGACCACCTGACACACCTGGACCAACACCTGGTTCACGTGACACACCTGGACTCATCACACCTGGACCACCTGACACACCTGGACCACCTGACACACCTGGACCAACACCTGGTTCACGTGACACACCTGGACCAACACCTGGTTCACCTGACACACCTGGACTCACACCTGGTTTACATCACACACCTGGTTTCTCTTAGCTCACCTGAGTTTATACTTCAGCTGTGTTCACCTGTTTTCCAMCTGAACTCAGTCTGGTTCTGGTTCTGGTTCTGACAGACTACTGGGAGGACTCGGGCCACAGTCCAGACCTGGAGCTGCACCTGGGAGGTGAGTTCACCTGTCCTGCTGGTTTGAATCAGAGCACACCTGAGCTCAGACTCACCTGAGTTAAAGCTGAATATTCTACCTGCAGGTGTGTGTAAAGCATGACTCAGCATTTCTGTCAGACCTCAGCTGATTTTAGCTGTTGAACCTTCGGCTCATTCTGGACTCCACTTCYTTTTACTCTCGGCTACTTCCAGTTTCTGACTAGCATTCTGCTACCTTTAGCTTTTAGCTACTTTCTCCTACTTTCTGGTTGTGACTGTGCTGGGTCTGTGTCTGCAGGACCAGGTAGACTGGATAACGTGGTCCTGATGCAGCGCTGGTTCCAGCTGGTCCAGCAGAAGAACTCTCTGGTCCGATATGAGGCTGAGCTCATCATATTGTGAGTGGCAGAACCTCTGTAGACGGGTCAGAACTCTGTAGACGGGTCAGAACCTCTGTAGACGGGTCAGAACNCTCTGTAGACGGGTCAGAACCTCTGTAGACGGGTCAGAACTCTGCAGGCGGGTCAGAACCTGGTTCTGTTTCAGTGCTCAGGAGCTGGAGCTGGAGGACAGACAGAGTCGGCTGCAGCAGGAGCTCAGAGACCGGATGGCCATGGACGGTAAGTGGACCTGATCTTTACCACACCTGGTCCTGGTCCTGGTCCTGGTTCTGGTTCTGGTCTCACTGTGTGACTGTGTTTGTGTTGACCCAGATCAGCTGAAGGGGGAGGAGCAGCTGCAGGAGGAGCACCTCCTCCTGCAGGAGATGCTGGAGGTGGTGGAGCAGAGGGACGTCCTCGTGGCTCTGCTGGAGGAGCAGCGCCTTCTGGACCACCAGGAGGACCAGGACCTGGAGCAGGTCTTGATGGCAGGACAAGGACTCAGCTGGACTTGAGACTGGTCTGGATGTCCAGCAGACCCAGAAACTGAGAGCAGAACCTCTCACTGAAAACAGACATGGTCCTGTTGGACCTCATGCACCTGTTGGACTTCATGCACCTGTTGGACTTCATGCACCTGTTGGACCTCATGCACCTGTTGGACTTCATGCACCTGTTGGACCTCATGCACCTGTTGGACTTCATGGACCTGTTGGACTTCATGGACCTGTTGGACCTCATGGACATGATGCACCAGTTGGACCTCATGGACCTTTTGGACCTGTTGGACCTCATGGACCTGTTGGACCTCATGGACCTGTTGGACCTGATGGACCTGATGCACCTCTTGGACCTCATGGACCTGTTGGACCTGTTGGACCTGTTGGACCTGTTGGACCTGTTGGACCTGATGCACCTGTTGGACCTCATGGACCGGTTGGACCTGGTGCAGCAGAAGGTGACTGCAGCTGTTAGCTCATATGCTAACTGAGGTTCTGTTAGTGGGAACTGCTTGGTGGTTCTGATCTCACAGGTCTGGGTCCACCTGAGTAACACTGGACTAACTGTTGATGATGTAATCTGGTCTTAATCTGTCGATCACCTGTTGATCACCTGTTGATCACCTGTTGATCACCTGCTGATCACCTGCTGATCACCTGTCTGCCTTATCAATAATGAATTATTGGTTCTGATGAAACTGGACTTGTTTGTTTTTCTCTGATTTTAGTGTTTGATCCATCAGTCATTGAAACCTTTGACCCGGTTCTGGTTCTGGTTCATCATGCTGCTTCGCATCTTATAGAATTTTACCTTTATGACCCAGAAGTCCAATGGACCGGAGCTGATGAGGTTCTGATCTGTGGATCCAGTCAGGAACCAGAACCAGAACCAGCTGGACAAACAGGACAATGCCAGTCTAGACAACAGGTTCTGTTTGTTTTCACAGCCGGTTCTGGTTTAATGGACCTAACTCCAGACAGGTTCTGGTTCTGTTAGAGGTTCTGGTTTATTGGACCTAACTTGTAGGGGTCACCTCGAGAGAAGAAACAAGATTTGCTGCCTCGAAGCAGGCCTCGGACAGGCCTGACGAGAGGACAGG